GCGGGCGGGGGCCCCGGGGCCGGAGGAGCGGCGGCCGCTGGCGCGGCGCCCAGGGGCGTGAGGCGGGTGCGCGGGGGAGGCGGCGGGGCGGAGGAGGCGGCCGGCCGGCCCGCGGGTCACTCGGAGGCCCGGGCGGCGGGCGGCAGGACGCGCTCGGGGAGTCGGGCGGGCGGGCGGCGCGCACCATGCTCTCCTTCGACGAGGCGCTGCAGCGGGCCGGCGAGTTCGGGCGCTTCCAGCGGCGCGTGTTCCTGCTGCTGTGCCTGACGGGCGTCACCTTCGCCTTCCTCTTCGTTGGCGTGGTCTTCCTGGGCAGCCGGCCCGACCACTACTGGTGCCGCGGGCCGAGCGCCGCCGCGCTGGCCGAGCGCTGCGGCTGGAGCCCCGAGGAGGAGTGGAACCGCACGGCGCCCCCCCACCTCGGCCCCGCGCCCTCCGAGCGCCGCGGCGACGGCCGCTGCCAGCGCTACCTCCTGGAGGCGGCCAACGCCAGCGCCGCCGCCCCGGGCGCGCTCAGCTGCGCCGACCCGCTCGCCGCCTTCCCCAACCGCTCGGCGCCGCTCGTGCCGTGCCGGGGGGGCTGGCGGTACGCCCAGGCCCACTCGACCATCGTCAGCGAGGTAAGGGCCCGGGTCCGCGCCGGGCGCTCCCGCCCCGCCGGCGAAAGCCGGCCGGGAGCGGACGGCGCGCGGAGCCCCCGCGGACGCCGGGAGTCGGTGAAGCCGGCCGCCGGGAAGGTCCGCGGAGGCAGGGAGCTGTCGGTTACCTCTGGGGACCGACCGGGTTCATCCCGCGCTTGGAAGCGTGGTGCTGCGTCGTAACTGCCCTGGCAGTGCCTTTGCTTTATCTCTCTCTGCTAGTGAGGCAACGGAGTGGTGCTTCGGTTTAGGTGTGAACGAAAACCGCCCTGGAAGCCAAGTGCTAAGATGCTTCGCACACATCTCGGGGATCGAAGCATCCTGTACGATGCTCGTTGACTGTGAGATGTGTGTGCGCAGTAGTTGGAAATGACGGATGGACGCGGGTAGAGAACCGCAGTGTCTGGGGCGAGCGACGCTGAGCACGTCCGCGCCAGCTCGTGGTCCCCAGGGGGCGAAGGAAAGGAGAAACCAGCGTTTGAAGGCAGCGCCAACTGTCTGTAGTTGCCCAAATGATTATCTGAAATGCAAAAGTACAAAGGTCGAGGCTTTCCCGGGAGCATGATTTTGGCAAAACTGCTTTGGGGCAAAGAGCAACATTTGAGAGAAGTTGGGAAAGATGAGGTTTTGAATTAAAAAAAAAATTTTTTTTCCTGCTAATAAGTGACAGGAACGCAGCAGAAGAGGCTGTAAGACATACATAGTGGACACCCCACTTATTGGGGGGGTAGCTGCTGGGGTCGGGTGGGGACAGTCCCCACGGTTTTTTGGCTACGTTTGAGCTCTCAGTGCCTTGGGGGTTAGGTGCCCTCACCTTTGGCGGCAGAACTGTTTCTGCGCTGCGCTGGGCTGGCGGTTTGCATCTTCATCTTGGTGAGTTCTGACTTTAGGGACTGCCTCCACTGAGCTTGCAGGGAAGAGATGAGCAGTTTTATTGAACTTTGCTGCAAGCATGGATCAGTTTAATTTCTAACAAGTGACTGAATGTGCTCAGGCAAATTGGGAAAGAAAAATGTTTGTCTTTAATTTACTGTCATAAAGAATTTTTAAGCACCTACTTGAATAATGGGGGAAACACTGGCTTCAGAGTTCGCTGTGCCTCTTCTGCCTGTTAATGGTGTTCTTTGGTCTGGTGGTGACCTAGTCTCTGAAGCTGGGATAGTAGGTCTTTGAGGTTATGCATGTTCTGTGTGTTAGCACACTGTGTGTGGTCCTCTGCTAAGTGCTTTAGAGATCAAACCCCATGGCAGCCCAGAAAGGCCATGTGTATGTGTGTTTGGGGTACTTTAATTTCTACCTAATTTGTGGGTCATGATCGGGACTGCTTTATAAACTGTGGTGGTCTTGTTAGGGATTTCACTCTTGAAATGGATACGGTGTGGGCTTGGGTGGGAGAGGGTGTTATCACCGGTACTTCCTTTGAGTTGTATCCATTAGGTGGCCTCTTAGCGCTACTTTCCAGGCAAACCAGAAGACACTGCTCGGAGACTAGACGCCTGATTTTTGAAGACATACAGATCTCAAATGAAGAATCAAATGAACACACACTCCAGTGGGGTTTCCATGAGCAAGCATGATCTATAGACATCAGAGAAGGGAGACATAAAAATCTCTAAGTTAGTGTCCAGACAGGTACTTTAAAAGCATTCTGGGGTTCCAGGGTTGTTTCAAGCATTCCAGGGTTATTTCAGAGGAGGGACAGTTGGTCTTATGAAGGTCTAACAGGCACTGCGGAAGGTGGGAGTTCCGGAGACCTGGTCCTGGCACGGTCTCCATCCAGCTGTGTGGCTTGGGTGGATAGCTTAACCCTTCTGGGCTTAGCTTTCTCATCTGTAGTATCAGGGGTTGGATTAAACCCTTTACAGTCCGACCAATGCCATCAGTGTCATCACTGGATGGCTGTTCTCAGTGTGCTCAGAACAATGATAAAAATCTTCAAGGAAAATAAAATGCTGTTCAGAATGCTCCCTTAAGGCCTCTGACAAGTTTTGGAAGTATATTGGAGAGAGGTTTTTTTGTTGTTGTTCTAAATTGTTTGCTTCTTCTGGTTTGTTGTTTTAATGTTTTGATTCTTGAGAGGAAACCCTCCATCTGTTCAGGAAGTTCAGCATCTAGAACAACTCCTTCCCTCGCAGAGTTCTGCACAGCTAATATGTTACTGTCTTTGGTTTTGCATATGATCCAATTAGTGTTCTTTCATATGCTGTCGGCGTGACCCGTCTCAGTGTGTTTTCAGAGACTTGAGACCTAACATATGAGTCATGGAAAGGGGGTGACTTGGGAGACTTCAGAACGCGGAAGGGGAGACCAGATTCCAGAATGGCAACATACCGCTGTTATATTTAATCCTTGCGCCATTGCTGGGTAGACAGCATTGTCCCGGCTTTTAGAATAGGAACCTGAGGCAGAAGATGCGAAGGGACCCACTAGCGTCCCAGACCTTTTATGTAGCCAAGGTGGGTTCAGATCTGAGGGTCTTGATTGTGAATCCGTCTCCTTTCCTCCAGGCAGTGCTCTAAGTCCTTGAAACAGGTCCACACAGCATGATACCAGATCACTCACACTTTAGAACCTGCAAGAAATCTAGTTGAACCTTCCTGTTTACTTAGTTACTATCCTGGTCCTCTGGCCAGCGTGTCATTTTATGTCATTTCACGGTCCGGAACACGATCCACTGCAGATGAGAGGCAGTCGGTACTCTCGGTGTGAGTGTTGCAGAATGGGCACTTAAACCTCATCCACCCTTTTTCCATCTTACAAAGAGAAACAGCGCCAAGGAGTTAAGTCAGAAGTCAATGCGAAGTGCAGGGCCCTTTCAGTCCAGCTCCCCCTCTGGTTTCTCCTGCTCAAGGTGATGCAGTGGATTTTTCACCTACATTTAATGACCTCAGCACAGACTTTTCTAACGTCTGAATCTCAGCCCTATGTGGTTGTCAGACACTGGGCAGAAGAAAGCATGATGTGATGCAGAGAAGTCCAAGTCCTTACCACCCAGATATTTCAATTCATTGCCCAGGGAGTGAGACTCCGAAATTAATGTTAAGACTTTGAAATGCTTGCTTGTGTACCATGGATGGGGGGATAAAAGAGCTCCTCTCTCACTAGGAACCAGGCCTCAGAGCACCATTAAAAATAGACCGAATTGCCCTTTCTAGATGAGTTTTCTCCCACACACAAAAAATGAAAGTCCATTTGAGGGAAGTGGCTGACCCATTGAAGAAAGCGGAGGCTGCTTCCATCTCTGGGGCTGTCCCACTGCTTCTCATGTCTCTGCTTTGCTTCCTGCATGTCCAACCCACAACAGGAGGCCAACCCCAGACATTAGGGGTCCCTAATCAGCATCCGGTCCTTACTATTTGCTAAGCATGGAAACACACTGCCATGAATACTGGAGAAAGGAGTTTAGCCAGGCCCAGGTTTTGTTCTGGGCTGAGTCTCTGATTTGCTCTGAGCACTTGAGAAAGATCTTACTTTTATATTGTTTTTATTTTTAATATTATTTGTGCTTTCCCTGGTTTTTGCTGAGTCAACCTCACCAAGAGAACATCTGTTTTATTATTACTTCAAAGGACCAACTATGGTATTGTTCATTTTCTATTTCATTAGTTTGTCCTCTTTTTTTTTAGTTTGCATTATTTTTTTAAAAATTTATTTAATTGAAGTATAGTTGATTTACAGTGTTGTGTTAATTTCTGCTGTACGGCAAAGCGATCCAGTTATACATACATACGTTCTTTTTCATATTCTCTTCCATATGGTTTATCACAGGATATTGAATATAGTTCCCTGTGCTGTACAGCAGGACCTTGTCGTTATCTTCCTGTTTATTATTTGTTCTGGTTTTTTGGATTTACTATGGGTGTGCTTTTTTTCCAATTTAAGTTAGCTGCTTAGCTCAATTCTTTCCTGCCTTTCTTCTTTTCTAGTATAAATGTTTAAAGCTATAGATTTCCTTCTGTGTACTTCTTTTTGACTACACCCAGCAAGTTTTGAAATGCAGGTTTTAGTTATTGTTCCATTCTCGGTATTTTTTTTTTTTTTTTGCGGTACACAGGCCTCTCACTGTTGTGGCCTCTGCCATTGCGGAGCATAGGCTCCGGACGCGCAGGCTCAGCGGCCATGGCTCACGGGCCCAGCCGCTCCGCGGAATGTGGGATCTTCCCGGACCAGGGCACGATCCCGTGTCCCCTGCATCGGCAGGCGGACTCTCAACCACTGCGCCACCAGGGAAGCCCCATTCTCGGTATTTTTAATCTCCATTATTTCCTGTTTGACCCATGATTTATTTAGATATTGGTTTAAAATTTTTAAACATACATTGATTTTTTATCTTTTAATTGTTCTAATTTAACCTTGGAGTGGTAAGAGAAAGTGGTCTGAATGATACTGATTCTTTTTTTTTTTATAATATTTGGCTTTATTTTCTAAGTATTCTATTGAACTTTTTATTTTTACCATTTACTTTTTAAGTCTCTCTCTTTTTTTTAATTTTATTTTTGGCCGTGCTGGGTCTTCATTGCTGCTCGCAGGCTTTCTGTAGTTGAGGAGAGCAAGGGCTACTCTTCATTGTGGTGTGCGGGCCTCTCATTGCAGTGGCTTCTCGTTGTGGAGCACAGGCTGTAGGCGTGCGGGCTTCAGTAGTTGTGGCACGCAGGCTTCAGTAGTTGCAGCACGCGGGCTCAGTAGTTGTGGCTTGCGGGGTCTAGAGCGCAGGCTCAATAGTTGTTGTGCATAGGCTTAGTTGCTCCGCAGCACGTGGGCTCATCCCGGACCAGGGATCGAACCTGTGTCGCCTACATTGGCAGGTGGATTCTTATCCACTGTACCATCAGGGAAGTCCCTGATACTGATTCTTTGAATTTTATTGGAACTTTCTTTTTGGCCTTCTAGGAGGTCAATTTTTATAAACATTCCATACATGCTTGAGAAGAGTGTGCAGTCTTTAGCTATTGGGTGTAGGGTTTTATAGATAGATGTCCAAT